CGTGAAGCTCTATCATACCTGATTGAGTTGGTTTGAAAACATTGATTCTGAAAGAAATTATAGCAGGGCCCGCAAAGGCCTGGCAAAGGCCCGGATTACAAGTATGTTCTTCAGAGAAAAAAGCGTCAAGTTGAGAATTTCTAATCAACATTTATTTGAATTTGTAACATCTAGACATAGGTTCATTCTGAAGGGGTGTAAAGCCGTAGTTCCTCTAATAGGAGCCCACCGAAACCGTCCACTTTGAGCTCAATTATCTCATTTCCTGGAAAAGGTATCAAAACATGGTCAATTGATAATATTATGGTGATTTTATGATGATCTTTTTTTTAGTTGACAAGTTGTTGACATCTTTTACAGGAATCAAGATAATTAACCTCAAAGTGGAGCGTTTGGGTGAGCTTCGGTGGGAGGAAATACGGTAATCTTTCTAGCTCCCAAGTCAGTCATTATGCATTCAATCCTTGAGATTTTTTCATTGAAAACTTTGGAAATGATCTAAAAATGTATCCAATGCTTCATCGTTTTCATTTGTATACAGCAATCTCCTTCATATGGAGGGTAGATGCCCCCAAATGTAAAGCTGGTGATGAGCAAACACTAAAAGTAAGAAGAAGAAGCGCGCACACGAAATGATGAAGATGCAAAACGGACTGTGTGTGTGAACAACTACAATACCGTCTTTTGTTTCGACTCACCTTTCCCTCTTTTTCCCTCCATCTCTCCACTATTATACAATCGTCATGGAGTCAGGTTAATAGGTAGTGAATAGGGGAATTATTCTAGGACTAGATTGACATAGCGTGTATTGGACAAGTCATATGGACATGTTGATTCGCTTTCATTTTTCAACTTTTCTCATGTCATCCATCATCTAAAACTGTTTTTTTTCTCATTTTGGTCAGTTCGCACCTCGTTTTTTAAAATCAGTTTGTAGTACGTCTCAAGTTGTGAAGTGTAAAGAGGGTTGACACAAAACTTACCCGGCAATCCGAATTGTAAACTTTTCTACTTTTTCACTTTTCAAAAGTCAAAGTAATTTTTGATGAGTTACCGGTGCGCCCCATACTGTCAACTTCAAGCTAATTTTTCTTGACTCCCATGCAAGGTATCAAAACTGTGTCATTAACAATTTATCAGTTGACAACTTTTCTATATCTTCGACAGGAACCGAAAAAAATTGGCTCAAAGTTGAAAGTTAGGGAAGCCCTTCTATTACAGGTTTGAAGTTATAAATTTTTACACTATGTATGTTCGGTACGATCACAAAGTCCTAATTTGTCCTACAAGTGTCCTCAAGAATTTACTCCCCCTTTTAATTAGGCATCTAAATATAGGGAGGAAGTGTGAGATCCTAGTATTTTAATGAGAGACTTCCTTCTCATGAAGTTGTATCATTTTCCATATTTTGAGCATTTTTAACTACAATGCACTCCGTAAGTACTCTAGTAGGAAGCCCTCCAAACTTTGAGCCAATTTATCTTGGTTCCTGTAAAAGATATCAAAAAGAAGTCAACTAACAAAACACTGCTGATGTTATGATAAACAATTTATCAGTTGACAACTTTTTGATATCTTTTACAGGAATCAAGATAAATTGGCTCAAAGTGCAAACATAGGGTGACGACCTATTAGAGTGTCGAATTTCCACCAAAACTCAGATTCCCATATCTCTGAAGCCTACGTCATACATATTACCGTCTATTTACCTTAGGCTTCCAAGGTCCCGACCTTCTTAGCCAATACAACAAATACCTTCCTGTCCCTCGAGCCCCACCAATTTGCCAATTTCTTCTCCATATATTCTAACATCTCTTGATATTTTCCAATTTCCTCTTCTATCCAATCCTCTTTACCTCATTCAATAACCTTGTCTAATTAGACCTCTCTTCTCTCTGTAGGTGGTCCGTGTCTCTCTCGCGCTGCCATATCCCGAAACGCTCTGATTGTTGGGATAATTGGCATATATGTAGGTACCTCTGTGTTGTGTATATTATTCACGGTCCTTTTTTTCTCTCTATACCTCTTTTTCTCTCTTCATTTGTGACCCCTGTATTGAGGAGTCGACTGTCAATATGTACATATATGTGACTGCCTCACATTTCTCCATTTTGGCATTTTTCATTTTACACCAAAATAACCAGTTGGATCGAGAAAAAGATACAACATACGTAATCTCCGAATCCCCCCGACACATGGGTGTTGTTTTTTTTTGAAGGATTTTCTTTTTTGCTTCCTTTTTCATATCCCGCCATCCCCTCACATCATCATTCATTGTTATTGTCCTCCTTCTTGTACCTATTCCCATAAAATATAGAAATCCCAAGGAGGAGGACAGGTGTCTTCAGAAAAAGGGGTTTCAAGCTTCCGGTCTCTCCGGAAAAGGGTAGGCAGGTGTAGAGAGACTCAGATGGTGAAACAGGGGGCGAACGTTAGCCATCATTTTCTTCCGACCCAAACCGATTTAGATGCTTATCGGAGACGAAACTAGCCGATTGTGGAGGTGGCGGTGGAAGAAGATGATCGGGAGGTTAACGGGCGGTCAATTTCGTTTGATTTCTCGCCGACATTCCCATGAACACTCGTTCTTCATCTTTTTGATGGTTTTATGAAGTCCCATAAAGTTTTTGAAATACCGTAGGCCCTTTTCTAGGAGGGACGGCCTTTCTATTGTTCCAAAATACCTCCGGAAAGCCCTTCTTTTAGAGGGACCCCCCCCCCTCCCATTAAGGGGGCCTTCTAATACAGGTTTTACGGTATCTATGGCCTGGTGATTTTTCTTTTTTCTATTTACCGTTCAACCTCTGATCTTTCTAATCATGCTTTTCATCTTTTTCATGTCTTATTTGTCATCTATTCATTCATCTTATACTTCTTTGATGACAGAAATGTTACTTGTCCTTACTTGCACTCGAATGCCCTTATGACAATTATTAGCAATACTGCTCAACGTTATTAAAAATTCAAAACTAGCATTTGTGGAGGATTCTATGAATCTTTGAAGTGTCTCCACATTCAATTAGAACTTCTTGCTATCCACCGTTAGACCTGTAATAGAAGACACCCTGTCAAGTTTGAGCTTAATTATCTGAATTCCTGTGCGATATACCATAAAGTGGTCAAGTCAACTAACAATATCTTCATGATGTTATGATAAACATTTTATCAGTTAACCAATTTTTGATATCTTTCGAAGGAACTGAGATAAATCGGCTCAAAGTTGAAAGTGAGGTGGACATCCTATTAGAACGTTTAGGGTAGAACTTGCTTGCTATCTAACTGAAATTTTATGCTCCAAAGTTTAGATTCTGAACAAATAAACATGGAACAAGTGAATCATGTTTCATTTTGCAACCTTCTCCTATTCTTATCAGCCCCTTAACTGTCTCTCTAGCTCCACCTACGCCTTTTATCAGAGAAGAGTTCCATGCCTAAGCACTCTTCACTTTAGAACCTCTGTTGTTGCTTTTCCCTGATGATTCATATATTTTTCCCTCTATACAAAATTCTAAATTTACAGAGAATATCCCGAAATTCACACCTATGACATGGAGTACATTGCCGCTACATCTGGTACAACACCGGCTGTCGCCCCTCGATCTTCCATCCATACGAATGGATTTGGAATCGAGAGAGGATCTTTAAGAAGGCCACCCGAGCAGTTTGAAATGCAGGAAAAGAAGAGGAAGGAGCAGGAGAACACATTTTTGAGGAGCTCATTGAGGAAGTCAAAAAAATTGCAAGCACTGGCGAAGACAGTGGATAACCCATGTGGAAGTGAGTTTTTTGTAGTAGAGGGTGGCGCAAAGTTAACGGGACTGATAAAAAAGAGTATATCTTCAGATATGAGGATTTTGGAAACACGAAAATTGGTAGTAAAATACTTTTACGTCTGATTCAAAGCTACTAAAATTTTCAAAACAATTGCTAAAGTCTAGGTATTGTTATGGTTATCCAAGATGAACAGATGGTTTTCATGAGATGAAGCAGCTTTGACAAGTGGTAACTCAGCTCAAAACTGATCAAATAATCCGAAACTTTGCCAGTTTAATGACGAATTATTGGAATTTTCGCATCTTACACTTGAGCTCAGTAGAACTCTTTACTAAAATGTTATGCTAATACAAGCCCACCCTTTAGGTTCAATTTAAAAAACTCATTTTTCAGCAGAACCCATGAAAGTCACCTCATTTGCCAATCCTCTTGCCGAAGTAGAAGAGATCAGTGTCAAGAAAAGTATAACTGAAAATGGGACAACGCGGATAGCAATCAGTGACAATGCCATAGAAAATTCAGAAGTTCTGTTAGATGAGACCAATAAGGATCATATGCGTGAGTTGATTTTTCATTTTTGTATGGTATCTAGTAGGACCCCAATCTATAGGCGTACTTTGACCTCAATTATCTCGGCTTCTATAAGAAATGTCAAAAAGTAGTCAACTGATAAAAAATTCATTATAATGCCATCAATATTTTATCAGTTGATCACTTTTTGATATCTTTCACAGGAATCGAGATAATTGGGCTTAAAATGCACGTATTGGGAGAGCTTCTATTAGAGCCGTCAATTGTGAGCTCAATCATCTCGGTTCCAAGAGAGATATCAAAACTCTGTCAATTGATAAGTTCTTTATCATGACAATACCAACATTTTATCAGTTGAACATTGTTTGATATCTTTTGGAGAAACTGAGATAATTGAGCTCAAAGTGCACATATACGGTGGGCTCCTATTAGAGCATTTATGGCAGAACTTAAATTCCAAATCTTCATAATCTCGCTTTTCAGAACTCGATGAAGTCATCATATCTGTCGAAAGAATAGCTTCCAAGCTCTCCTCAATGCACGGGCGGGAAAGTGACGTGGCGATGCTTCGTGACTTCTTCGCCGCCCCTCCAATTCAAGCAGCCATCGAGCAAACTGTAAAACAAAATGGAAAATGTGGAACAACATCATCTGGAATAGGAACCGATTCTGGAGGTGACTCATCTTGCACGTCATCGCCGATCCCTCCAGTTGCCCTGAATGGAAACCGTTGCCCGTCAACGTCTTCTACATCTTCTCTATCCCCACGACCCAATGTTAAAGTTGTGGAAGTGATAAAAGATGAGGATAGTTATCTAGGAGCTACAGTTAGAAACGAGAACGATAGGATAATCGTGGGACGAGTGGTGAAAGGAGGAATCGTGGAGAAGATGAACTTGTTTCATGAAGGAGATGAGCTTCTAGAATTGAATGGATCTTCGTTAAAAGGGAAGCAGGTCAATGAGATTTGTGAGATTCTGAGGAATCTATCAGGACCCATTACTTTTGTAGTGGCTCCTAAAGAGGAAACAGAGCCAGAGGTTGCAACAGAATCTGTGAATTCCAATAACTCCAAAAAGCCAAATCATGTTCAACACCTTCGCGCGTTATTCGATTATGACCCTGAAGATGATGTTTATGTGCCTTGTAAAGAATTGGCTATGAAGTTCGGAAGAGGAGATATTCTACACGTTTTGAATACCAAAGATGATAACTGGTGGCAAGCGTATAGAGATGGAGAGGATATGAAGCACTCGTTGGCTGGACTGATTCCAAGCTCTTCGTTTAGACAACAGTAAGTGTACAGTATTTCATAGTTTGGAATCTTCAAATTTGAGCTCAATTATCTTGGTTCCTACAAAAGATATCAAACAGTTGTCAATTGATACTGATATTGATGATTTTAAGAAAAATATTTTAGATAATTGAATTTTTAAGATAAATATTGAGATAATTGAGCTCAAAGTTGGCGGTGTGGTTGGACTTCTGTTGAAGGAAATAGGGTGGTCAACTTTGAAGTCCTGAAAAACTATTTTGAATTCTTTGGATGTGTCTGAAATTTTCAAAATAAATTGAATCATATTAGAGCTTCAGTTTTGTAAATGACAACTTTCATGTAAAAAACCGATAAAACTTTTATTACGGTGCTTTTTTGCCATTTTTGGTCATAAACGGCATTTTCACCAAAATGGAATTTGACGAAAAATTTTGTAACCACAAAAATGCATATCTCTTTATCTTCAAAATAACCTAACCTTCTCAGATAAATCGAAAAATTCTAGACTAATTTTTCAGGAGTTCAAAGTGGATTACCATATTTGCTCTGATAGGAGCCCACCGAATCCGTCAATATTGAGCTCAATTATCTCGGTTCCTGTAAACGATATCAAGAATTTGTCAACTGATAAAATTTTGGTTATATAGCAAATTATCAGTTGACAATTTTTTGATACTGTTCACAGGAACCGAGATAATGAACCTCAAAGTCGATGTTAGTTTGAGAAATACAACATACTTTATGATTCCAGAGTGGTGCTCTATGCTGATGAACTAGAACGAGAGCAAGAGCAAAAACGAAAAGAATGCAAAACAAAGAAAAAGAAGAAGCTTGAGGTGAAAAAAGGAGCCGACGAGGAAAACCTCCCAGCCATCGGAGTGTATTCTGATTTCCTAACCTATGAAGAAGTGGTTCTGGAACTCCCAAAAGCCACCCACCGGAGACCTATAGTGCTATGTGGAGCTGAAGGCGTTGGATGCTTAAAACTTCGGGATCGGCTTCTGGAGTCGGATAGAATTACACTGGCGTGTCCTGTACCATGTAAGGATTACTGTAGCCATAATTAAAACCCCTAATTTCTATTAAAGATACCTCCCGGCCTCCAAAAGAAGGTGAATTCAATGGAGTTCACTATCATTTCGTATCCAAACAGAAATTCCACGAAGAAGCAAAGTCTGGAAAATTTTTGGAATTCGGTGAGTACCAAAAGTTTTGGTATGGAACTGCTAAGAAGGATGTGGTGAATGTTATCGAGAGAGGAAAGACATGTGTGATGACGTTGAAGGCGGAGGTAGGTAGAGAAGGTATAGTAACCCAAAACAAATCTAAATTTTAGAGTCTCGGCGCTATCCGATCTCCTGATATTCAACCTTATATTATTTTCATCGCTGCGCCATCTCTTCATATTCTAAGAAGACAACGAGAAGTTGAAGGAACGTTTGGAGTGAAGGATGACGAGCTGAAAGCGATTCTGAATCAGAGCAAAGTTATTGAGCAGGTTAGAGTTAGGCAAAACTTTAAAGGGTCCCACAACGACAACTACCGTAACCTAAAAATGGTTTTATTTAGATTTCTTTTCTCGGTTTACGTGCGTTTTCAGTCACTTTTTCACTAATACCCGAAAATTCGAGGGTGGGCGGAGCTTAGGTCCGGTAGCTAAACCTTTAAAGGAATATGTTACTATTTTCTGGCGTATTTTTCCGATTTTCAATGAATTTTTTTTGATTTTTCGATAATTGATTTGTTGCGATTTTTTATGAATTTTATCGATTTTCAAGTTTATTAAAAACAGAAATTCGAAAAATCGCAAAAAATCGCTTTAAAACATGTCAATTATCGAAAAGTCGGTAAAGTTTATAAAAATAAAAAATAAGCATAAAAATAATTCCGAAATCCATGCGCCTTTGAATGCGCCTTTAAGCGTTTCGCAACCGGACCTATGCTCCGCCCACATCATTTTCTGGCCTATTTTTCCGATTTTTCGACGAATTTCATCCATCGATTCTAAAGTATTTATCAAACAAAAATCGCAAAAAAACGCATAAACACAATGAAAAGTCATTAAAATTCCTAGAAAAATGTTTTTTTTTAACCGGCCAGAAAATAATTCCAAAAATCCATGCGCCTTTAAATGCGCCTTTAAGCGTTTCCGGACCTAAGTCCCGCGCACCCTCGAAGAAACAGTGAAACAACTAGAAATAAATTCGAAAAAGAAACAAATTTTTGGGTTACGGTAGTTGTCGTTGTGGGACCTTCAGCTCCGATTTTTTTTGTGAATACCAGAATAAAATCAATAAATCAGTGCTTTTTTTTCAGAAATACGGTCACCTCTTCGACGGCATCATTGTCAATATTGATTTCGAAAAATCGTTCCGCGAACTCAAACAAATTCTCATGAAGGTCAACACCGAGCCAATGTGGGTGCCTGCCACGTGGACCGCCTGTTAGCTGCTAAAATCACTTATTCCGATATCTCATCTAGTCTCAAATTGTCATTTTTCTTCGCCCCGGTCTTTGAATTATTTCATTTTTTGAAAATTACACAAAAACAATTCCCAATGATCATTCCCCCGAAAATTCTCTTTTTTTCTGTTCAACTTGAGCTAAAAACTTCTTCCACCATGGGTATTTTTTGAGCTGTGATTGATTTCTAAAAGCTATTTTTGAAACACAAATGAATTCATTTGCATTATATCTTAGAAGGAACCCAAACAGAGAAAACAGGGGAAAATCCAATAAATTAATCTGTGGGGGCGGGGCGAGGGGCGAAAGGCATATTGAATTTTGAAAAAACGGCATTAAAGGTACAGAACATGTGTACTAGAGATATTAATAAAAAAACAAGTCACAGAAAATTTTGCGAAAACGAACAATGAGAAAAAAATTAAACCGATACAGACGCACATCGAATCTTGTTTTAAAGAATTGGTTTTGGGGGTGTTTTAAAGGCCTCAGGTATACACGAAAAGTTTGATTTTGGTTTGATTGGTGGGGATTATGATCATCATGATGCATATAAATCAAAAAAAAAACTTGTTACGATATGTATAAATGACTAGAAGTCAGAAATTCTAAGGGGGACTAGTAATGCAATTAATTATTCCGACGCGATATCTTCTTCCACGTCTTCTTCCTCTTCTTCTGGAGCTTCAGATGAGTCTTCTCCATCAACGCACTCCTCCTTCAGATACGCTTCGATTCCACCGATTTTGAGATCACCGCCAGCAGCGAGGATTTGTCTGAAAACTCTTGGGATGAATTCGAATGCTCATTAAAAATGGACTTTGATTTTTCCGTGGCCTAACTTTCTCAACATAATTTTTTCTAGGCCACCGTAGTTGATGGTTCAGGAATGGTCTAGTATGCACCTAGTATGTTTTCTAGGCAAGTTTAACATGGTGGCCGAACTTTTGCAAGTTGAGTTTTCTAGGCCGTCTTTATATGTAGAAACGGTCTAGAAACCACATCAGATATCAGGTCATTCCTAATTCATGAAAGTAGGTGGCCTAGGTCCTCAACTTGCTGAAGTTAGGCCACTACCTTCAAACGACCTAGAAGCGGTCTGATAATCACCTGATGTTTTCTAGGCCATTTTAACATGTTGGCCTAACTTTTGCAAGTTGAGTTTTCTAGGCCACCATGGCAAATGACCTAGAAGCGGTCTGATATTTACATGATGTGTTATCTACGCCATTTTAACATGATGGCCTAACTTCCTCAACATGTATTTCTTTTTCTAGGCCACTATGTTAAATATCCTATCAAACACACCGGATGAACATTTCTAGAAACGGCATAATGTTCATCTGGGATGTTTTCTAAGCCATTTCAACATTGTGGCCTTCAGCACCGTTCAGTTTTCTAGGCCACATTCTAAATGACCTAGAAACGATCTGATGTTTATTTAGTGTGTTTTCTAGGCCATTTTAACATGGTGGCCTAACTTTTGTGAGATGAATTTTCTAGGCCGCCATGGGTAATGGTCTAGAATAGGCCTAGCGTGTAACTGGTGGATTTTCTAGGCCCTTGAACTTGGTGGCATAACTTTTGCAAGTTGAGTTTTCTAGGCCGTTTTTACCATGTAGAAACGGCCTAAAAAACACATCAGATGAATATCAGGCCATTTTTTGATCATGAAAGTTGGTCGCCTAGAAAACTCAATAAAGCTAGGCCACCACGTGAAAATGACCTAAAAACGATCTAATGTTCACCTAGTGTGTTATGTCATCTAACATGATGGCCTGGTTTTTCCAAATTGAGTTTTCTAGGCCACCATGGTGAATTACCTAGAAACGACATAATATTCATCTGGCGGTGTTTTCTAGGCCATTTTAACATTGTGGCCTAACTTTAGCACCGTTCAGTTTTCTAGGCCACATTCTAAATGGCCTAGAAACGATCTAATGTTTACCTAGTGTGTTCTCTAGGCCATTTTAACATGGTGGCCTAACTTTCTCAACATGACATGCTTTTTTTTAGGCCACTATGTTAAATAGCCTATCAAACACACCGGAAGTTGGTGGCCTAGAAAACTCAATTTGGAAAAGCTATATTCGCCTGGTGTGTTTTCTAGGCCACAAAATGTCTTCAAGTTTAAAAGAACATCTCAAAACAACTCACAATTTCTCAATATCCCCCTTCGTCGGCAACGGATGATCGACAAAGAACGCGGGGAAGCACTCGCCGAGTTGGCTCTTGATCTCCTTGATATGCGACAACCGATTGTCAACACACCGCTCCGCCAGCTCCGAATGCGCGTCTCTCATATGCTTCATCACCATATCCTTGCATTGATTGCCGAACGAGCACGCGGCACACTGATACAACGAAACGCCATCCATATGGGTGTAGGCGTGTTCCGGAAGCCGAGAGTTCGTCTGTTTGCCACACTTCTCACAGTAGCAAAACTCGTTGACTTTCTTCTTGTAGAATTGCGCGCCACCGATCAAGATGGATACAGATCTCGCGACGACAGCGTCCTCCTTTTGCTTTTTGGATTTCTTGGAGCGAATGTTAAAGGCGCGGCGGGATTTCCGTCTGGAAGCCGCACTTTTTGAACTGCTGCTAGTTGTCGGCTCTTCTCCTTCTTCCTCCTCTTCTGGCTCCTCTCCATAATCACCATGATCCTCCTCATGAAGCATATCCTCATCTACCTCTTCTACTTCACCCATATCATCAACTTCCTCATCCATCAGAAGCAATGGCTTTTCCTCTTCTTCCTCCTCAACATCTTCCATTTTGACCATCAAAGAAGTGCTATCATTCGACACCTCCTCTTCATCCAAAGCCACCAATGGGGATGCTCCGCTGGTCAACATCGCTGAGATATCTTTGTGCTCTCGTGGAGCCGCCGCTGGGAACTTGTTCTTTCTCTTCGACTCCTGAGCGAACACCGAGGGGACTCCGAAGCATGCAGCCGACATTTCTTTCACATCATCCTGATACTCGCCGATTCTGTCCTCGACACAGTCGTCGGTACCGTGCTCCTTCTTTCCGTGAACTTGAACGGATTGCGAGCGATCGTGGCCGAAATCACAGTATTTGCAGGTGTAGCGGTTGATGCCCTTGTCCTTGGCCATGTGCCAGAGAATGTGGAATCCGCGGATCTGCAATAATTTCGATTTTTTTGAATTTGCTCTTTTTCTGAGTTTCTGTATTATTCTGGTATAAAAAATGGTCCCTACCGTAATCTAAAAATATGTTTATTTTCCGTATTTTTTCTCGTTTTTCGAATGACTGAAAACGCTCAAAATTGGGTTACGGTAGTACCCTCCAATTTTTAATTGTCTGTCGATCTGTCTGTTTTTCCGGATGTCCTTACCCTATTCTGCATTGTCTTTCCGCAAATCTTGCATTGCAATGGGTGATCCTCATCGGGCACGAGCTTCAGTGGACCGAATCCTGTGTATACTAAAACGGAATTTTTTGATTTTTCAGAATTTCTCTTAATTTTTTTTTTCAGCGGCGCTCCCACAGTTTCCTCGGATTTTTTGAAAAAAAGAACATTTTTTATTGAATTCTACAAAAAGTCATTATTGCGTAGTTTCGTCATCACAACCG